ACTGGGAATAAGGGATGGGATGGGTTTGCTTTTCTGGGGGGATTCCTGTGCTTTTTCCTTTGGCATTTCAGTGCCAAACTCCCCTAAACTGCTGCAGAAACACCTCCTCAGTCAGAACCTTTCTTTAAATAGTCCATTTGTCACGACTGCCACGTTCCACAGGGCACATTTCAGAGGAACTTGGAGCTGTCACATCCCTGGATTCCAGCTCTCTGTCTCCATTTGGAAAAGCAGCTGAAAGCTGAATTAGAGACACGAAAAAAGTGCAAGCACCGTGGGGAGGAACCAGAAAAGCTCCTGGTTTTCTGAGATTTTTTTACTTCCTCAGCAAAGCCAGACTTCTCAGTGAATTACAGCGTAATTAGCTAATTAAAGGAACTCACCTAGTGAGTGTTCTTTGAAAAAAATCTCAAGGTATGTCCCAACAATTTGCCGTTTTCTGAGGGATTTCAGCTGATTTGTCACCAACTGGAGGTGTAACAGCTCACGTGCTCCTCATTATCATCTTGCAAGCTAAAAGCTCATTAACAACAATTAGGAAAAAAATATAAACTTGGCAGCTTTGTGTTATTTTCTGCCTACTACAGACACTCCTTAATGCTGTTGCAAAGAGGGATTTTCTTCCTTTCATAGCCAGCAGAACAGTGGGGTTTAATCTGAATTTTCCTCAGTGCACCAGGATATCAATTACAGCAAATAAACAAATAATCAGCTTTAGCTCACCTAAAATTCCATCCCAAAGACACCAGCAAAGGGCAGGATCTCACCTTCAGCTTTACCTCCTGTCCCTTTTAATCTGTTTTGTTTTTATGGGCTGTCCTGGCTGCTCTGTGCTGGAATTCCCTGGCTCCTGAGCCACAAAAGCCTCACCTGATCCATCTTCGAGCTAAAAATCTCCTAAAATCCCGAAGTGAAGAGCATTTGTGGGAACACAGGGAAACATCAACCAACAAGTGAGATATTCTCAGCTCTGAATGGGAGTTTAAAATCATTTCTGTTCAACGATTTGGATTTGCTCAGCACCCTTAGGAGCACAGACTCATTAAAGGTTTTACACTAATGAGGATCCTCTTTCTTCCACTGGAATTCAAGGGGGGCTTTTTTCTAGACAAGAGCCTGGGGTGAAGGGTTTGGGAAAGGGAAAAGAGAAGGGATTGGGAAAAGTGAAGGGGTTTGGGAAGGATCAAAGATTTTGGAGTAGGAGAAAGGGGTCAGGCTGCTGAGATAAAAACATCTCCCAAGGTTTCATTCCCCAAAGGGAAAAAAAAAAAAAATAAAACAACAAAACCCAGCAACAAACCCAACCCGTGATGCAATATTCAAGCTGAAAACCACAAAGGTTGTTAAACAAAGTGAGAAAACTTCTCGTTCTCACCAGAGATGATTCCTGCAGATAATAAAGGAACAAACCCATCTTCCCATTCCTCCTGACCTCAACCACTGCTCTCAGTTACAGGCAAAGTTCTCAAACAACTTATTTATTATTCCTCTCTTTATTTATAACAATTTTAAACCAAACCCCTCAGTTTTGTTCTGCCTCAGAGCTGGGGTCAACTTCAGAAAACCTTTCACACTTCCCCAAAGCTAAGAACACTCAGGAAGGAATCCACACTTACACACCAGCAGCTGAATTGTGTATTATTTTTCGAATTTTGTAATATTTTGAAGTATTTCCATTTGTTAACTGCTCTAAATCAATCCATTAACATCTTCTGAGGGCTGAGAAAACACTGAATTTCACTTTATGAGTCCCAGCAGAAGCCCTGTGACATTTCAGTATAAAAACAGTTAACCAAGGGGAAAAAAAGGCCAAGAAAAACAGGATCTAAAAGACATTTTCAGTCCTTTATACTGAATAATCCACTTTTGGTGCTGAGAAAGTGCTTCTTGTCATGTGTTTGGAGGTGCTGAGACAACACAGGGCTGCTTAAAAATAATAATTAACAAGTGAGTGTGTTTTAGCACTGAGGAAAAACAACCTGCAGCGTGTGATGTGGGCAGAGCTGCAGCAGCCACAAGAAATTCTCAGAAAAAAAAAACCACCCAGAACCTGAATGTGCCTTTTTCTGTCCCCACTGAGCAATTGTCACCATTCCCTTCCCAACCCAAACGCTCCCTCCAGCCCCAGCACACGAGGCTGGTCCCAAATTTCTCCATCCTCACAATCCCTGGACCACATGGAGCCGGAATCTCGGCAGGAATTGTAGCAAAAGATTCCTTCCTAACAATCCTTGGACACACAACAGCCAAACAAATCCCCAGTTTGGGTTTTTTGGCTCTTTTCTAGCCCCTAACCCGTTGCATGTGTGACTATTGTCCAAGCCCTGCTCCTGAGCAAGCAAAATTCTCTTGTAACAAACCCAAACTAGCACAAAACCCAGAATTATTCCATGCTGGAAAAAATCTGCCAACTTCAAAACACCCTTTTCCACTCGGAGTCAGCTCGTATTCATCGAGAGAATGATCAGGGGAGGAATAAATGCACATTTATGGTTTGCTGAAAGCTCAGAGACATCAAATGCTGCTCACGCTTGGCTCATCACTCCCAAATATTTGCACCCAGCCCGCTCTCAAAGCAATTAAAAAAACACCAAATAAAACCCCAAACGCTTTTGTTGCCCGTCTCCTTTTTGGGTTTTTAAACACCATCCAACCTCTCTGACCCTGGATAAAACCACAAGAGCCCCTGAGTGCAGCTGCCCAAGGCAGAGCAGCCGAATTTTGGTGAAAATTCCACACGGGGCAGCTCCCAACACTACACAGCAACACTCATTTAATCCACACTGCTTGCATCCACATGGAGTTTTAAATTCACAATTCCACTGGTTTATCCCTTCTCATCCTCCTCCAGCTCTTTTTCCCATCCTCATTCCCACATCCCATCCACGTTTCCTCAGCTCCAGCAGCAGCTCAGCTCTCAGCCCCCTCCCCAACAACTCATTTTTGCTTCCAAGCCCCTTTAAATCATCCCTTTCAACCCGCTGGTTTCTACCTTTCCTCCTCACAAGAACAACCGACTACCGCAGGAAGAATTCCCGCTGAAATCCATCAGTTTTCCCTGGATTCACCATCTCCTTCCCCGGCCTCCACGAGCATCTTCCCCGAGGCAGCAGAGCGTGAAAGGACCAAATTTTGCATCGTTTCACACCAGGCGAGCCCAGCGACTCCAGGCATCTCTCCCTGACTAAAAAAGTAGAGCAAAGAACTCCGCAAAGTAAAGATAAACTTCCCTGTCTGCCAGCTCCAGAATTTCGGGATAACGGGATTCTTTCCCCACGCTGCTCAACCTGGAGCTGTTTTGACACACAGGGATCAGGTTCGTTCCCTATGTAAAGCGATTATCGGGCGATTTTTCCTAAAATTAGCAGCTTTTCCAGCGCTGGATTCCCGTTTGTAGGGGCTCGCTTATCCCTGACCCGCGATTCCAGAAGCTCTCACGGCATGGGGGACCCTCTTTAGAGGTTTAAAAATGGGGATTTTGGAGCAGTTTTGCTGCCTGGAGCTGACCCCAAGCCTCCGTCCCCGGCTCAAGTTCAGCTCTTTCCCCCCCTCTTGAGGACACGGCTTTTTGGGGTTGCTTTTTTTTTTCCCTAAATAAACACAAACCCGCAGCGATTTCCCCCTTTTTCGTGCCCTCTCCCCGCTCCACCACGCTCAGCACTGAGGTTTAAGGGGAGTTTTTTAAGGGTTTTTTTTTCCCCCCCTCTCAGCAAAGCCACGACCCTCAGGATCCCCTCACGGTCCCGGGAATGGGGAGGGTATGAGGAGGTGGAAGGGGATTTGTGGGATTTTAGGAATGGGGGGGTCTTGGAGAGGATAAAGGAGGGGGTCTGGGGAGGTGGGAGTCGATCCCGAGGATGAGGGGGGGAACGTGGAGAGGGTAGGATGTTCCCTCAACAAAGGGAAAGTTGCGGAGCCGAGCCCAGCCCGGCGCGGGGGTCCCGCCCGCACACAAAGGCGGCGACCCCCGTGATGGATGAGGGGAAGGGGGGGGGAAACGGGGTCCGCCTCAGCCCCACCATGGAGGGGGGGGGTCCCTTTGACGGGGGGGCACCAAAGACCCCTCCTCTCCTCCGCCTCAGCCCCCATCTCCCCCCACCCTTCTCCCCCCCGTCCCCTTTATTTACCGCCATCACCAGCACGCGCGAGCTGTCACCCAGCGCGAGACGCCCCGGCCGGCCACGCCCCCTCCCCGCCCATTGGCCGCCGCGCCCCGCCCCGCCCTCCCATTGGCTGGAACGCGCGTCGCTCAACGCCAACACCCGCCTCCCTCTCCGCCGCTTACGCCAATTGCGTAGCTCGGCACACAGGCTAAGACCGCGGGTATTTACGCTGTTTGCGTGGCGTACGCACCCCGCCGGCGTAGCGTACGCCGCGGCGGGCAGAGCGGCGGCGGAGCGTACGGAGTCTGCGCAGCCGGCAGGGGGCGCTGTTCAATGGGCGCCGGGGGGGGCGGGCCGGCGCGGGTTCGAGTCCCGCCCCCGCCTGTGACGTACCGGGCTTTGTGAATCGCGGGGCCGAAGTTCGGTTGAGGCACGGGAGGGTAAATAAGGGTGTCTCGGAGACAAAGAGGCTCTTAAAGGGACGGCGCGGGGGTCCCCGAGGAGGTGGCGTGGGGTGGGAGGTACCTCACGGGCGCCCTGAGGTGATGGGGGCGCTGAGGTGATGGGGGGTCGCGCCCCACGGGGGTCCCTGAGGTGATGGTGGGCACAAGGGGCAGGCTGGGAGGGCTTTGAGTGATGGGTGCCTTGAGATGGAGATGCTTGAGGCGATGAAGGAGCACCCCAGGGGCGCCCTGAGGTGAGGAGGGGAGGCTAAGGGAGTTCTGAGGTGATGAAGACCCTGAGGGGATTGGGGGGACACCTTAAAGGGTCCCTGAGGGTCAAGGGGGTGCTATGGGAGACCCTGAGGTGATGAGGGGACACCCAAACAATCCCTGAGGTGATGAGGGGACAAGGAGGTTCTGAGGTGATGAAGACCCTGAGGGGGAACCCCAAAGGATCCCTGAGGTGATGGGGGAACCAAGGACAGGGCTTTGGGGGCTTTGGAGTGTTTATGGGGGCCCTGAGGTGATGAGGGGACACCCCAAAGGGTCTCTTAGGTGATGGGGGGGACACCCCAAACAGTCCTTGAGGTGATGGGAAGGGTCCAAGGGGAGCTGTGGGAACCATGAGGCGATGGAGACCCTGAAGTGATGAGGGGACACCCCAAAGAGTCTCTGAGGTGACATGGGGACACCTCAAAGTGTCCCTGAGGTGACAAGGGACACCCCAAAGAGTCTCTGAGGAAATGGAGAAGCCGAGGTGGGGGCTCTGAGGTAATGGGGGTCACAGCCCATGTGGCCCTGAGGTGACAGGGACGCCGAGGCGATGGTGGCACCAGTGCCTGGCCCATTCTGACCCTGTGCCTGCACAGAAATCCACACTGGCACGGCTCCAATGAGCCTGCAACGTCTAAGAATTAAAACTGGAGAGCAACGATTCCTCACTCTCTTTGTGAGATTAAAAGAATGCCAGAGGAACAGAACAAAAGCCCCAAAAACCTCCTGGGGTGGCAGCGAGACTTGGGACTGGCTCTGCCACTGAAGCACTCGTGACCCTGATAACATCACCTGTATAAATAAATAAATATAAATAATAAACCATGCAAGGGTGAGGCTTCCACTCCCAAAACCTCTGTTCCCTCTTGGTCAGGCTTCAATTTAGGGAATGAAACAACACTGACAGAGATTTTTTGAGAGGTGCAGAAGCAGAAAAAAAAAAAAAAAAGATCCATGATGGAGCAAGACCTCAGCGTGTCCACCTCTGAAAAAACAACCAACCTTCCAAACCGGGATTTGACAGGGAAAATTAGGATTTTTATGCAGCAACAAGCTTTGCTGGGGCATAAAGGACTAAATCCTCCTCATCCTCACGGCTCTGGAAAGCCACTGACGTCAAGGGGTTAATTAAAGGCAGAACGTGGCTCCAGGGGTCTCTTTTTGGGACAATGTATTAATAAATAAAACCCCAGGGATTCCAGCACACACTCCCATGGTGGTTTTTTTTTTTTTTTTTTTAGGCACATGAGCAGAGTTTTGACAATTTTTTTTTTTTTTTTTTTAGGCACATGAGCAGAGTTTTGACAACTCTGCTTACGGAGCAGCCTTGGGATTTCACAAAGCATTACCAACATTTCACCGTGACTAATCTGCTCATTAAGAGGGTTTTTTTTTTGTTGTTTTTTTTTTTAACCTTAAGGTTTGTAATAGGAAACAGGACAGGGATAACCATCCCTACAAATCCTAGTTTGTTTCCCCAAATTTTCCCACTTTAACTACGTGGAACCACAGTGAATTTTCACCACTGAACGATCCCACACAAGTCATGAACTTGAGGCTAAGAGCTGCAAAAAATTCAGTATATTCAGCGTTTTGGAATTTCTACCACACTTAGGGGACATTGTGCCATTTCTTATGGCTCGTGAACCACCTCTTTCTGGGCTCTGTGCTGATTAAATTTATTAAATGCTCACAACTAAGAGCTCTGAGCACTCTTAACAGTTAATTAGGTTTGCAGGTATAAACAATAATCATATTGAATCATATTTAAAATAATCATATCACAAAAGAATCATATTTTTAAAAAAAAACAAAACAGTTCTCAGCCAGAAAATCAAGCCACAAATCAGCTGCTTTTTTCCTTCTTGCTTCAGAAAAAAAAAATAAAATTCTGTTTTCTTTGCTCTTCAGACTTGTATGGGCAAGGAACCAACAATATTTTTTCTGGAATGCTGGTGCCTTCCCAGAAATAGGAAGGAAAAAATATATTGAAGTGATATCATTATGTCTTACAATAAATTTTTGGCTCTTGTTGCCCAAATCCTTCCTTATTCCATTGAATCTGAAGCCATCAGGATTCCTCAAATGGTGTGCAGGGACAGGATATTTATTACCTGCCTTAAAAACAATGGGATAAAGCAGCTGGAATTCTCTCAGTGCCTGACAAAGTTCCTGCCAGGTTTGCTTTTTTTTTTTTTTAATTTCTCCAGAGCCTTCATTGAGAGGCAGATTTTGACATTTCCATCAGCTACAGAGGATGAAGGCAAGGTAAGAGCAGGAAAATGTGAGAATTCCTGGATTTTTTTTTTTTTTTTTTTTGGATTTTTTTTTTTTTTCCACAGTTTTTTTTTTTTTTTTTTTCCACAGGGAAATGTTTGCTTTGGGGGAATAAAGCTTTTGAAGCGATTCTGTAAATAAACACCACAAACCAGCACAACCCTCACCGTGCAGGGACAACTCCTCCTCCCAAAATCCAGCGTTTTATTGGGATGGAATACAGCAAAACACCAACGTGGCTATAAAAAAAATAGAAATTTAAGAGATTCCTCCTGTAGCTGTCTGTAGTCACAGCAGCTCTGCCTTTGCTTTTGGCTGGAATTTCTCTTTTCCCTGTGGATAAAACAGCGATTCCTGCAGGAAAAACTGTCCAAAGAACCACAAAACCATGGATCCCAATAATCCCAAACCGTGCAGGACACCCAGGGTACCAGAAGATTTTGAAATGGGAAAGATCAAGAAAGAAAAATAAAAAGTCTGGTGCTGCCTGTGCCACACTTGGGAGGAATTCCTGATACAGTCCAGAAAACTTCACCTGATGCAATAATTCCAAACTGTACAGGACACCCAGGACACCAGAAAACTTTTAAATGGGAAAGATCAAGAAGCAAAATAAAAAGGCTGGGGCTGCTGCTTATGCCACAGTTTGGAGGAATTCTTGATGCAGTCCAGGAGCTCCAGGAATTCTCTTCACCTGATGCAATAATCCCAAACTGTGCAGGACACCCAAGACACCAGAAAACTTTGAAATGGGAAAGATCAAGAAGGAAAAATAAAAAGCCTGGTGCTGCCTTCTGTGTCACACTTTGGAGAGATTCCTGATGCAGTCCAGGAAACTTCACCTGATGCAATAATCCCAAACTGCAGGACACCCTGGACACTGGAAAACTTCGAAATGGGAAAACTCAAGAAGGAAAATAAAAAGGCTGGTGCTGCCTTCTGTGGCACACTTTGGAGAGATTCCTGATGCAGTCCAGGAGCTCCAGGGGATTCTCTTCACCTGATGCCAGCCACGGGCACCTGCTGCTGCTTGCGGATCTTGTTGAAGAGCTCCATGTACTGCACCATGGTGTCCCCGGGGCTGTAGGTGCTGTCGTGCTTGGAGCCGAACACCGACGGGATCCCGGGAGTGTGGCTGCCCATGAAGCTCTGCATGAACTCCATCAGCAGGTTCCAGCAGTCGTTGGGGATCACACAGGGGCAGTATTCCACCTAGGAACACATCCCATAATCCTGGAGCTGCCAGGAAGGACAGTATTCCACCTAGGATACATCCCAGAGCTCTGGAGCTGCTGGTAGGGCCAGAATTCCAGCTGGGAACACATCCCACAGCCCTGGAGTACCTGCCTGGATTAAACTTTGGGAGAGGAGATCTAAACCTGCCCGCTCCACCAGCAACACTGAGCCACAGACAGGACAGGGAATTACAGAGTCATGGAATGGTTTGGGAAAGGGACTTTAAAGCTCAGGAACACCTTCCTCTGTCCCAGGCTGCTCCAGCCTGGCCTTGGACACTCCCAGGGATCCAGGGGCAGCCACAGCTTCTCTGGGAATCTATTCCAGGGCCTTCCCATGCTCACAGGGAAGATTTCATCCCAATATCCCATCTATCCCTGCCCTCTGGCAGTGTGAAACCATTCCCACTTTTCCTGGCCCTTTTAAACAAATCATCTCCCTCCACCTTCCCTGTCGGCTCACTTCACACACCCTCAGTTAGATCACCCCTAAACCTCCCTTCTCCAGCTTCTCCCACTGAATTTCCCTGCCCATCCATGCATTCCCCACCCTCCTCAGTGGGCTCTTACCTCCATGGATACACCCCTGTGCCCATCCATGATTTCCCCACCCTCCTCAGAGGGCTCTCACCTCCATGGATACACCCCAGTGCCCATCCATGATTTCCCCACCCTCCTGAGTGGGCTCTCACCTCCACGGAAATGCCCCTGGCGCTGGGGCCCATGGTGACCGTGCCCAGTTTGACCAGGAAGTCGCAGTACTGGTAGCGGGTGCCACGGCTCTCGATCTTGTTGGCCTTGGCGTTCTGGAAGAAGCCCTTGAGCTTGACCATGAGGGTGTCAAAGTTGGCGTCAGCCACGAGGCAGGGCCCGTTCTCGAAGAGGGCGAAGCAGCTCAGGGGGTACTCGGAGTTGTGCATGACGTACATGAGCTTCCCTGTCTGCCCTGCAGTGACAGCGGGGGACAATGTGGGAAACCCAACATTCCTGCCTTAAAGCAGCTCCTCTTCCTGCCTCTGCCCTCCTCGCTTTAACTCCAGATTCTCACACGTTTATTGTGGTATCCATTCAGGGAATAACTTGGGTTTCCTTATGGAGATTTGTGGACACACACATTCACAGAGCTGGGGAATTACAGCTTGGGAATTCTTTCCAAGTCTGGATTTCTCCTGGCTCTCAGCTCCATTCCCAGGCTGACAAGCTGACTGCAGCTTCAGTTAGGGAGGAGTCTCCCAGGGTGACAACATGGTGACAAACAGAGTGGAATTCATCACCAACATTAACCCCTGGTGTCTTTCCCGTGGGACACATCCTGAGGTGCTGTCCCAAGGATGTTTTTCCCAATTATCCAATGAGCTCCTGTCCTGTCCTGGCTGCACTAACACACTTTAAATCCGGGCTGTCTGTACAATAAATTGGCCTTTTTTCCCTAAAGAGCTCCGTGTATGTTATTGTCCTTTCTCTCTCTCTGCAGCACAGTAACCACAGAGATTTACAGGGAAAAAGAAATCCTCAGGATAAAACATCAGCATGGCTCGGGGTGAGGTGAAAGGAGAAGCCCAGGAGCCCATGGGCACGGAGAGAGCTGGGCTCAGTCTCTCCTCCAAGTTCCAGCTGCCAAAAAAGCAGGAGGAAGCTGCTCTGAAATATTCCAAAGGGTCTAGACGGGAACAGCAGCTGAGCAGAGCTGGGGCTGAGCTGGGTGGGCTCAGTGGTGAACATCACATCAGTGCCTGGAAGGGATGTGGGGATCCAGGAGGAGGAGGGAGAAGGGAAAAGGAAAGGGGAAAAAAGGAGGGGAAGAGGGGAAAGGGAAAAGGAGACAGGGAAGAAGGAATTGCAGAATCACAGACTATGGAAAGTTGGAAGAGATCAAGATCAGCCACTCCAAGCCTCAGCCCAGCACTGCCACTGTAACCCCATGAACCAGAATCAGATCCAGGCACCTCCTCAACACCTCCAGGTCAGGTGGGGAGGAGAAGGAAAGCAGGGAGAAAAGGAAAAGGAGGAAAAGGACTGGAAGGAAAAGGGAAAGAGGAGCTTGGAGAGGGGCTGTCCCCGTTGCTGACCCTGTGTTCCCAGGGCGGCCGCGGTGTGATAGGTCTCGCAGTCCACGCCGAACGTGCCCTGCTTGTCCGCGCCCAGCGCCTCCAGCCGCCGCGCCAGCAGCTCCACCGTCTGCTGCACGCTCTTGCCCTCGGCCACCGGCACCTGCGACACGCTGCGACACGGAGCGGCGCTCACGGACCCGCCGGGACACCGACACCGCCGCCGGGACACCGACACCCCCGGGACATCGACACCCCCGGGACACCGACACACATCACCGCCGGGACACCGACACCGCCGCCCCGACACCGACACACATCACCGCCGGGACACCGACACCCCCGCCGGGACACCGACACCGCCGCCCCGACACCGACATCACCACCGGCCGTGTCCCCGGGGCTGCTCCGCACCCTCCATCCGGAGAACATCCCCGTGTGCCCGGGGCTGCCCCAGCCGGTGCCACCCCCCATTCCAGGAGTCTATCCCGGTGTCCTCGCCATTCCAAGAGCCCTTTCCGGGTCCGCCCTCCCATTCCAGGAGCCCTTCCCAGTGGAGCCCCCCCCATTCCAGGAGCCCTTCCCAGTGGAGCCCCCCCATTCCAGGAGCCCATTCCAGTGGAACTCCCCATTCTAGGAGTCTATCCCAGTGCTCTCCCCCCCCATCCCAGAGCCCGTCCCGGAGCCCCCCCGCGCTCACCAGGTGACCCCCATGGTGCCGCTGCCACCACCGGAACGGGCGGGACGGGCGGCCCCGGGAAGAGGCGGAGCCGGCCCGGAAGAGGCGGGGACAGATCGCACGCGTGTCCCCCCGGTTCCGCCGCGATGCCCAAGGCCCGGCGGGCGCGGGGCTCGGGCGCGGCCCCGGCGCTGCCCTTGGCCGAGCAGATCCTGCAGGACGCGGCCCCGCGGGCGCGGGCGAGGCGCGGGGACCCCGGCGGGGCGGAGGAGCGGGGCGGGGATGGCGGAGGGGACGAGTTCGTGGACGCGCGGCTGTCCCGGCGCATCCTGGAGCAGGCTCGGCGGCAGCAGGAGGAGCTGGAGGCCGAGCACGGCCCCGGAGCGCCCGCAGCTCCCCGGCAGCGCTGCGCGGTTCTCGGTGAGCCCCCGGTAGCCCCTGGCTACCATGCGGGACCCCCGAGGGTGCGCTCGGCTCAGCCGGGCTGAGCCAGCGGCGCTCCCCGCAGGTCCCGGCTCGGACTCGGAGGATGATGAGGAGTGGCCCTCGCTGGAGAAGGCGGCGGCGGCCGCGGGACGGAGCGGGGACTACGGCGGGGAGGTGGAGGTGGACCCCGAGGATGAGAAAGCCATCGAGATGTTCATGAATAAGAACCCGCCGCTGAGGTGAGGAGGGGGCTGCTCCGAGGACTGGGGCTGCTCCGGGGGAAGGGGCTGCACCGGGGGAAGGGGCTGCACCGGGGGCTGGGGCTGCACCGGGGGCTGGGGCTGCTCCGGGGGCTGGGGCTGCACCGGGGGCCGGGGCTGCTCCCTGCACCGACCCCGACTCTGCCCTGTCCGGCGTCAGCCCCATGCGACCCCCGAGTCACCCCTCGTCCTGTCTCAGCCCCTGACTCAATCCTTATCCCATGTCAGCCCCCAGCTCACCTGCATCCCACTGCGATCCCCGATTCTCCCCCTGGTCCCGTGTCAGTCCTGCACAGACCCCAACTCACCCCCCTCCCTTGCTCGCCCCTGGCTCTCCCCTGCTGTCCCCTGCCAGCCCTCCCCTGTCCCCCGCTGACCCTGTCCCGTGCCGGCCCCAGGCGCACCCTGGCCGATATCATCATGGAGAAGATCACCGAGAAGCAGACGGAGGTGGAGACGGCGCTGTCGGAGCTCTCGGGCTGCCCCATGCCCCAGCTCGACCCCCGTGTCCTGGAGGTCTACAGAGGTGTCAGGGAGGTGAGGCCAGAGCAGCTGAACCCACCTGAGGTGCTGAGGGAGGGGACAACGCGCTGCTGTCCCTGCTGTCACTGCCCCCAGTCATGGCTGTGTCCCTGTCTTTGAAGGTGCTGTCCAAGTACAGGAGTGGGAAGCTCCCCAAGGCGTTTAAAATCATTCCTGCCTTGTCCAACTGGGAGCAGATCCTCTACATCACGGAGCCGGAGACCTGGACAGCTGCTGCCATGTACCAGGCCACCAGGTAAGGTCACCTCACGGACCTTCTGGGATTTTTGGCTTTTTTTTTCCCCCCATAACCAGAGTCAGATTTACAAAACACCAACCTCCCCGTGTTTGGCCTCTTTTCCTCATCCATCCCTTCACGTTTTGCTGTTTCCAGGATATTTTCCTCCAACCTGAAGGAGAGGATGGCCCAGCGGTTCTACAACCTGGTGCTGCTGCCACGGATCCGGGACGACATCGCCGAGTACAAGCGGCTCAACTTCCACCTGTACATGGCTCTGAAGAAGGCTCTGTTCAAACCAGCAGCCTGGTTCAAGGGTAAGGGCTCTCCTCTGGGGCTTGGCTGGCTCCCTGAGGGGCTGATCCATGCCAGGGACCCTCCTGGGCTCAGGGAGAAGGGGCTGAGCCCGCAGGGTTGTGCTGTGGGTGAAGGTGGTCGGTGCCTGACTGTCCCCATTCCCAGGGATCCTCATCCCGCTCTGTGAGTCCGGCACGTGCACGCTCAGGGAGGCCATCATCATCGGCAGCATCCTCAGCAAGTGCTCCATCCCTGTCCTGCACTCCAGGTGAGGCCCTGAGGGGCTGGAGGGGGGGAGCTGCTCCTCCAGGGACCCTGGGAAGTGCCTTGGATCCATCCCTGAGCCTCTCAGAGGTGGTGAGGGGTCACTCAGCTCAGCTTTGTGCCTGAGTGCCTGGTGCTCCATGGCTCCAGTCCAGGGCTGACCCCTGTGGCCTCTCCTTGGTCACTCTGGCTTCAGCCTGCCCCCCCCCGTGCCCATTCTTCAGTCCCCAGGGCTCTGGCCTGGTCCCCCCAACCCCTCACCCTCTGTTCCTGTGGCCCATTACTTTGTCCCCTCACCTCTCCTGTGTCCCCATGTCCCTGACCCTTCACCCCTCCTGTGTCCCCGTGGCCCTGTCTCCTGTCTCCTCACCTCTGTGTCCCCATGGCCCTGACCCCTCATCCACTCCTGTATCCCTGTCCCCTCATCCCTCACCTCTCCTGTCTCCATGTCTCTGTCCCCTGACCCCCCACCTCTGTGTCCCCATGTCCCTGTCCCCTGATCTCTCACCTCTCCATGTCCCTGTCCCCTGACGTGTCCCCTGACCCTCACCTCTCCCATGTCCCTGTCCCCTGACGTGTCCCATCCCCGTGTCCCTGTCTGCTGACGTGTCCCATCCTCGTGTCCCTGTCCCCTGGCGTGTCCCTGTCCCCTGACATGTCCCGTCCCCGTCCCCTGACGTGTCCCGCCCACCCCGCAGTGCAGCACTGTTGAAGCTGGCTGAGATGCAGTACAGCGGTGCCAACAGCATCTTCCTGCGCCTGCTCATCGACAAGAAATACGCGCTGCCCTTCCGTGTGCTCGACGCCCTGGTCTTCCATTTCCTGGCCTTCCGCACGGACCAGCGGCTCCTGCCCGTGCTGTGGCACCAGAGCTTCCTGGCCCTGGCCCAGCGCTACAAGGAGGATCTGTCCTCGGAGCAGAAGGAGGCTCTGCTGGAGCTGCTCAAGTTCCACAGCCACCCCCAGATCTCACCCGAGATCCGCCGGGAGCTCATGAACTCCAAGACGAGGGACGTGGAAGGGGAGCAGGCAGTGGCCATGGAATGAGCAGGGAAAGGCTGGATGGAGCCTGGCCTGCCCCTGGGTGCAGCTGGGACTGGATCAGGAGCATCCACCTTGAATGAGGAGCATCCACCTTGGATCAGGAACATCCATCCTGGCTCAGGAGCATCTTTCCTGCATCAGGAGGGTCCTTTCTGGATCAGGAACATCCATCCTGGCTCAGGAGCACCCATCCTGGACCAGGAACATCCATCCTGGCTCAGGAGCATCCATCCTGGATCCTGCTGCTCCGAGCAGTCCCTGGGAACAGACTGTGCCCACAGAGCTGGGTGTGAGCCCTGTGCTGCTGTCAGGGGGCAGGGCAGCCCCTGTCCCAGCCAGGAGCCCAGTGCCACCAGCACTGGGAATCTTTGGTTTGTTCCTGTACTTGGAAATAAAACCAGAGCTGTGTCAGGGCTGGGTCTCACTGGCGTGGTCCCAGCCTGTCCCTGTCCCCACCCGCTTCTGCGATTCCTTGCCCAGGGATTTTCCCACTCAAAGCCCCCCAGGGTTTACTTCCTGAATCCACAGGGCCACCATCCTCACCTGGCCACGAGGCCACCAGCCTGGCCTGCTCCTGGCCCTCTGCCCAAGTTCCACCTCTGCTGGAGAACCCAGGGGGGACTTTTCCAGGAGGCTGCACTTCCCTGGGCCCTGCTGGCACTGTCACTGCCAGGTGTGTGCCTTGCAGCTTTGGGCCACGGAGAGGAGCCCCTGCTGCACCCTGAGCTGTGCCAAGGGCAGCTGCCTCCCGTTGTCACCTCCCGTGGCAGGGGCTGGGTCCCCACACCTCAGCCTTTGCCATCACCGCTGATTTTATCTTTTAAAGCAGCCAAATGAGCACAGGAGGGAGCCTGGGCTGGCACGGAGCACCCCTGGCACTCTCCTGCCACCACCTGAGCTGCTCCAGTGCCCATCACCTGCTGGGAAGAAGGTGCTGCCTCTGCTCACCTGCAGGGAGGGGTTCGGCTCCATCACCATCCCTGAGCTGCCCCAGGTGTCCCTCAGGGTCCTGCCTGCCCTCTCCCCCTCCCATCCTGGGAAAAGCAGGGCTGGAACTCCCAAGGGAGCCCCAGCACCAGGGAAAGATCCGAGCCCCGCCCTGGGAACGGCGCAGGGAAACCCTTGAGCCTGCTGTTTAATTTTTGTTTAAAATATTTTATTGCAACATCACGGGGTTCTCTGGCTCTCCCAGCAGTGGGACTCGTGCGAGTGAACACCAAACCAGTTTACTCTTAAATTAAAAACTCATTTATATAGATATAGATATATATATATATATATAAAAAAGGGGAAACACATTTCCTTTTGCACAGCCAGGCTCTGTCCCAGCCCTCCTGCTCGCAGGAGGCAGCGGCTCCGGGGGTTTCCGGACCAGGCAGCCTCAGGGAGGAGCAGCAGCCCCACCTTTTTCCGCCAGATTTTTGTGTGGCTGGTGGCATCCAAAAAGGAAGATTTCTACCTCTTTTTTTTTCCATATTCCCCCTACGGGAGGACAACAGCCACATGTCCAGAAGTCCCCAAGCAGCAGCAGCAGCCTCCCATCCCTGTGGAGTCTCTGGCTTCTCCTGGTTAATTCCACTCTGTAATGGTTTTTCTCATAGAAAAGCAGCATTATTTTTTTTTCCCTGTTTTACAACAATTTTTATAAAAAAAAACCCTAACAGGATCAACAACAACAATACAAAAAAATGCAGTAATTGCTTTTCCAACTCAAGTGCGCAGCAAAGTTTTCCACCCTCTCGGGAGGCAGCTCGGGTGAACACAGCCCCCTGCTGAGCGTGATCCGAAATCCCTGCCCTGGAAGAGTGGAGATGCATCCCAGACCATAGCAGCACATTCAAAGGTTTTCCTTAAATCCTACTCTTGATGCCTAAGCTACCAAAGGACCAACCAGCCTCCAAGGAGAGTCTCCCACTGCTCAGGGAGCCGGGGAAGGGGTGAAAGGGGGGAAGGCACTTTTTTTGGGAAAGGAGAGGAGAGCAGCATCCAGGCCCCACCCCGAGGAACGCCAGCTCTCCTCCCTCCCCGTTTCCCAGCAGTGAACAATAAATTAAGCAGCTCAGAAAAGCCGAGGGGACGGCGCCCGACCCTGAACTCCTCCCAAGGCACGGCCGGGGAGCACATCCCCAAAATCCCACATCCAACAGCAAAAACAAACAAAGCCCCCGGGTCCTCTCCAAGCAGAAGCAGCTGCACAACTTCCCCTGGAGCTGTGGGAATGTGGCACGAAGCAATGGGGACCGAGGGGCCACCAAGCAGCTGCTCCACGAGCCCCGTGGCCCTGCAGGGTTGGGGTGATGAGGATTTGGGTCCTGCAGGGTTGGGGGCGATGAGGATTCGGGTCCTGCAGGGTTGGGGTGATGAGGATTCGGGTCCTGCAGGAATGGGGGTGATGAGGATTCGGGTCCTGCAGGAATGGGGTGCCGAGGATTCGGGTCCTGCAGGGTTGGGGTGCCGAGGATTCGGGTCCTGCAGGGCTGGCTCTCCATGGTTCTGTCCCTCACGGGGCTGGAAGTCACCATGAACACCCCAGAGAGCCAGGGAACACCAAGAGAGCGACAATCCCAAATTCATCCAGGCTCCTGCTCCCCGTGCCCTGCATTCCTGTGCCCTGGCACCACCTCGGTCACTCCCCCCTGGCCACCTGCAGCAGCTCCAAGCGTGGATCCCACTCCACATTCCCAGCCTGGAGGTGCTGGGTGGGCAGGGGGGGATGCAGCGAGCTGGGGGGGGTGTCCAGGGAGGGGCTGGAGCTCTGGGGAAGGGCCCTTGGTCACAGGTTGACGTCGGTGACATCCGTGGGGGTGCTCGTGGGTTGGCTGCCCCCGTAGGCCGCCGCCTTGGCGCTGAATTCCTGCTGGGATTGGGATGCCTGCTTCAGGCTCTCGGCTAAAGCTGCCTCAATCTGCTCCTGACAGGCCTTCAGGCAGTCCTGGAACGGGGAAACACACAGGAGCCATCAGACCCGTGCTGCTCAGGGCTGGGAGCTCGGGGAAAAGCTCAGAGCAGCTGCTGGGCTGCACCTCTGACCCCCGGAGCATGCAGGGAAAAGGAGATTTTCTCCATCAGCTTGTCCCTCCCCAGGCAAAGCCCCACACTCTGGTTGTCCTCCTCCCACCTCCCTGCTGACCCCATTCTGCAGGAATGTTGTGTCCAGCAGAGCTTCCCGAAGTCCTGGAGGGAGCCAGGGCGTGGCTTCAGCAGCGTGGCAAGGGCAGGGCACTGGCCAAACTTCCCAGATCCCAAAACTTTGGCTGTCCTTGGAACATGGATCCACCCCCCTCCAGCTCCCCAGGCCCTCCAGCCCAGCTTTCCCAGAGCTCAGGGTGCTCCTGCAGCAGAGCTGGGCACAGGAATTGTGCTGGGTGCCCCTGAGACCCAAAATCCACCCTACAGCACCTCCCATCCACACTGAGACAACGACGCTGTGGCCACCGAGCTGCTCACAAGGTTTTCACCCTCCTGTCCCCTCTGTGACACCCCCCAGGGGACCCAGAGCTGGGGGACACGCACAGGAAGGTGCAGGGCCATCAATGTCCTGAATGCAAACCCCGCTCTGGTTTTTCCCCCACGAGCTGTAAGCAGGGGAGGAAACTCCCACTCGGACACCCCCGGGCACAGCCCAGCCCGGTGACAGTTTGCACCTCACGGGACTTTGTCACACCCCGAAATCTCTTACCAGGAATCCGCCAGCGGTTCTTAGAAACTGACAGAGGATGTGGCGAGCGAAAATAGCAACAGCCAGCTCCCCTTCCCCAGCTCCCCTTCCCCGGCTTCTCGTCAGCAAAGCCTCGTCCTGCCCCAGCACTGCCCAGCCCTGAGCACCACGGACACCTGCACAGGGGTTGTCACCACGGACACCTGGACAGGGGTTGTCCATCACCACGGACACCTGGACAGGGATTGTCACCACGGACACCTGCACAGGGATTGTCCATCACCATCCCCCAGCAGATCCCTGGGCTCTTCATCACCATCCTCATCTTCATCTCCATCCCCAGCTGTCCAGCATCATCCCTGGGTTGGCCATCACCCTGTCCAGTCCATCCCAGCCTCTCCATCCCCACCACCAGCAATTCTGGCCAAGATGCCAAAGCCAGCCTGGCCACCCCCAGCCAGGCTCCCACTGGCCATGGAGCTGGCCCAGCCCTGCAGCATCACCCCTGCACTCCCAGCCCTGCAGGAAGGGGATGGCTCCTCCAGAGGGGAAACTGAGTCACAGCCTGGGGACACTGCAGGGCCACACTCCGGGAGAAGCAGCAGCACCACAGATGGAGGAGGCTGAGCCCAGGAGCTCTCCCAGGAGCCCAAATTTCTGTGGACACATCCCAGGAGGAGCTGCCACGGTCCTGGCTGGGCTGGAGCTGTGTGTGAGGCACCCCACACCTGGGCAGGGGGCACAGCAGATGCTGGGGAGGGACAGGAGGGGACAAGAAGGGACAGGAGGGTGCTGGGCTCCATTTCAGCTCCTCTCCCTCCACAGAACCCTCCCTGCTTCCCACCTGTTCCCTGCACAGCCCCGACCTCCCCGAGCAGGTTGGGAGCAGGTGGCTGCACTGATTCTCTCTTTAAAAAGGCTCCAGAGAACAAAAAAATTCCATCTGCACGAACAGCTCGGGAGGAGCCCGGACAAAGCCTCGTGGCAGCCACCCCCAGGCCTGCTCCAGGTCCTGGCAGGGGAGCAGATCAAAGGGGAGAGGAAAAGCTCCAGACTGGAGTGACCTGGAGAGCCCCACAGGATCCCTGTCCCCCCTCCAAGGGCAGTGGAGGGGCGGGAGAACCCCCCCCTCGCTGATGTCCCCAAACCTGGAAGGTTTCATGTCCCAACCCCCCTTTCCTCCCCCCCAGCCAGGGCACCTGCAACCGGACACTGAGGGGAGCAGATGCTGAGCCCGAGGTGTCCCTGTCCCCATCCCAGCCGGAGAACACGATCCTGCCAACACCTGCCCGGGCAGGGAACAGATCCTGCCCTTTGTGTGGCATTTCAAAGGCTCCGGGCACACCCTGCCCTGCCCCGGGCTGGGTTTGGGATCATCCCACAGCCCTTGGCTCTCCTCAGAGCAGGGCAGCACCGTTTGAACTGCACAGTTCCACAGGATCCCACAGGAGCTGGGGCTGGAAGGGCCCTCTGGAATCCATCCCTGAGCCTGCATCCCTGGGCTGGCCAGCAGCACGGCCAGTCCATCCCAGTGACCAGTCTGTCCCAGTCTGTCCATCCCAGTGACCAGTCTGTCCATCCCAGTGACCAGTCTGTCCATCCCAGTCTGTCCATCCCAGTGACCAGTCTGTCCAACCCAGTGACCAGTCCATCCCAGTCTGTCCATCCCACTCTCCCTGACCATGCCCAGCCTCTCCCTGATCACACCCAGTGCATCCCAGCCTCTCCCTCACCCCCTGGGCCAGGGTCACCTGCAGCAGGTGACACAGGGACACATCCAGGTGAGTCCGGAACATCTCCAGAGGCGAAGACTCCACACCCTCCCCAGCCAGCTGTCCCACCCTCCATGGAAAACTCCTGGGAGGAGGAGGAGGAGGAGGGTCCCAGCAGCTGCCCCGTGCCCGGTGCCAGCCCCGTGCCCACTCACCACGTCGGTGCCCGTGATCCCGGCCAGCAGCTCGGTGATGGCCTCTCCACCGCAGGCGCTCCCCGGCAGGCTCAGGCCGTGCACGGCTGCCCCGATGCTGCCCGTGGCCACCATGGACGGCGGGTACATGACAAACGTGTAGTCTGCAGCCGGCACAGGCACAGGGGAGGGGGAAGGAGCCGTTAGTGGGGTTTGGGAACGGGGTTTTCCCTGTGCAGCTCGGGAGAAACCGGCATGGAGGAGCACGGAACAGGCTGAGCTCTTCAGGAGAAGTCCTGGCTCCAAAGGTTGAGGGAGAGGATGAGAAAAGTTGGGATTCAGCCCTGGGCACCTTCCCACAGGCACAGCAAGAGGATGGCACACACAGCCCTGCCCTCCTGGCATCCGAGAGCCCCCAGGAGCATCACCCCACTGTTGGGAAGGATGAATTTGGGAAACCTGAGCAATACCAGTGCCTAGCAAAAGGCTTGGAGAATATGGAAAATATAAGTGAAATAGAAATGAGAGCAATTTTTGACTGTGTGGCTGAAAGCAACTGAATGCCTGAAGGCTCCTTTGGTTAGATAATGTTGGATGCTGAGAATACCAAAAAACAAACAGACATCCTCCCTAGGCATGGCAGGAAGGGTCCCAGATAAAATTTAAAAATAAAAAAAAGCAGTAAAACGTGGTAATACAGTGATTCCTATAGGTTGCATGCAAATGTTCGAGAATTTGTATCTTGTATTAGATTGGTTAGTGGAAATTAGAATATTCAACGTAGAAGAAGATTTATTGTATTGTAAAGGGGAAAATCTCTCTCTTATGCTCTTACTCTCTTCGTTCTTACTTTCCTGAGCTCTCTTCTTTTACTTTCTCTCTATCCCTTTTTCCACCCTGCTCTGAGCTGTGGCTGCAGTTCCCGGCAGGGCCTCATATAAACCCACACCCTACGAAACAAACTGCAAAACTTCAAGACCAGAACACAGAGAGCGCCTGACTTCGTTTCCTCCACCCCACCCTGCACATCTCAAGACTGCAGCCAAGGCAACAGAGCAGAAGTGGGGGGCCCATCCCAGGGGTCCCAGCAGCCCCGGGCCCGGCCCAGCACCCACCTGTGGCACAGAGGGCGATGAAGGTCTGGGCGTGTTTCTTCACCAGCTCCACCTTGTCGCTGGGCAGGGGCAGCCGGTGCAGGATGTGAGGCAGGAAATCGTTGGCAATCACCGACACCAGGTCCCACTTGAGCTTCTCCAGCACCAGCAGCTCCCAGTGCTGCAGGGGGACAAAGGACAGGACGTTATGGGATGGCTCAGGAGGCTTCCAGCACCGGGAAGGGCACAGGGGTTGTCGCCACTCTGTGGTTGTGGCACAATTCCAGCCCTGGGCTGCTCGGAGGAGGAAGCAAAAAAATGTGGATTCTTCTTTCCAGGGATTAGTCCTGGACACTCCTCGCTTTGCAAGGTGATGTGAGAGCCCAGGGAGGGAAAAGCAGAGCAGGGACAGAGGGAAATCCACAGCAGGGACAGAGAGAAATCCACAGCAGGGACACCATCCTCAATCCCTTCCCCACTCCCAGGCTGATGTCCAGGCTCCCAGGACAATCCTGGGCCAGAGCTGCCTCTGGGAGCTGTGACTGCACCACAAACCCCAAGGCAGGAGGGAATTCCCAGGCTGGGAATGCTTTTTTTTTTTTTTTTTTTTTTGGGCAGGAAATTCCCCTTTTCTCCACCAGGAAAGGCTCCAGGTGTGCTCAGAGCATCCCCAGCACCCTCTGGGGCTTCCCAGGTGCTCCCTCCAAAAAGCCAGCAGGGATTTCTGGGATCTCCAGGAGCCAGCCAGGCTGGGAGCAGATGGTCCAGGCTGGGAGCCCCCCTGAGCTCCAGCTGGAGCTCCAGGACCCCCTGAGCCCCTCCTGGCTCTGCCAGGGACAGGGACAACCCTTGGCAGAGCCACCCCCCAGCAGGTGCCAGGCTCAGGCAGTGCCAAGGTGAACACAAGGAGAGCCCCCAGGAAATTTGGGATCCCTGCCCTCAAATCCCAGCTCTGGCAAGGCTGGAGCAGCAGCTGAACCCAACTGGGGGCCACACACGTGGAGCTGTCACTGCTGTCACCTCTGGGGGTGACACAGCTGAGCTGTGTCCTGCCAGCATCGTTCCCTTCCCTTCCCCTTCTCTCTGCAGCTCCCAATTCCCCCAAATCCCAGCCACGATGATTTCTGCAGCCCCTTTCCCCTCACCCGGGGGGTCAGATCGGGGTGGGGGGCTCAGAAAGGCCTGAGGGTGTCCCCAGGTCCCTGGAGCAGGGGGTGACAGTGGCAGGACAGGGGACAGTGGCCCTGCTGGCAAAGGGAAACCCCCCAGGCGCTGAAGCTGAGGGCCCAGAGCTGGGTTTTGGGTCAGGTGTCCCCAGGTCAGGACCAGCACCAATCTCCTTTCCCCCCAAAATTCAGGATTCCACTCAGCTCTGCCAAAGCTCCAGAATTTGAGGAAGTGACATTTTTTCCTAAGCTCAGATCTTCACTTTCCCCATTTTTTTTTTTTTTTTTTTTTTGGTGTTACCCCCTTCCCCCTTACACAACAAACCCTCCCCGAGTTGCTCAAACCAGCAGCGTTGCCCAACCTGCCCCAAACCCCCACGCTGGGCCCAAGCTGCCACTTCCCAGCCTCCACTTTTCCCCCCAGGAACCCATCCCTGCCTCCCTCCTCCCACATGGGATGATGCCCAGCCCGCCAGGATTTGGAGATTTTAAAGCCAAATCTATGGGATAAAAGCAAAAAAAGGAGCTTTGGAGAAGAGGCTGAGGATGCCCAAGTGGTTTGAGAGAGGGATTGGAGATGGGTGTGGGATGTCCTGAGTGGGACACCCAGGGGACAGCTCTGTCCCCACCTCTGCCTCACCTGGGAGGCTCCAGGGGGTTGGGAAGGCTGGTCCAGGTTTTTGGGAAGGGCCTGGAGCTCCCTCCCCACCCAGAAAATCCCAAATCCCTGAATCCAAGGGAATCTCCCAGCTCTGGGTTTTTATGCCCCCAGGGCAGCTGCGGGAGCCACCGGGGCAGTGCCACCCTCGGGGCTGTGACACAACCCGGGATTTTGTCCCAAGGAGCTGCTGCAGACCCAGGGATGGATCCTGGCCCAGGACAAGCTCTGGTTCCTCACAATCCAGCCCTGACCTGGCGGTGCCACTGTCCCCAAGCCCAGGGACTGTCCCCAAGGCACAGGACACAGCTCAGGGCAGCCAAAAGCTGCTCCATCCTTGCCCCTCTCCTGCTGACCCAGATCCACTCTGGATCCATCCTGGATCCATGAAAGGAGCACAACAAAAACCGGGCCAGGCCCGGGCCAGCTGATGATCAAATTTCCCTTTCCTGGAATTTCCTGGAGCCAGCCCGGGGAGGAGAGCTGAGGAGGAAGGTGGGGAATGTCCCTTTGTGTCTCCTGAGGAACAAAACCCTTCCCTGCCCATCCCAGAGCTGGGAATGCAGCAAATCCCCCCCAGGGCAGGGCTCTGTGGGGCTGGGAGTCACAGCAGGGTGTGAGCATCCCCCTCTGGAAGTTGTGATCGCTCCTGGCTGTATCCCAGAGGGGAAAAAAAAAAAAAAAAAAAAAAAAAAGGCAGGAAAAGCAAAATTCCTCAAATTCCCAGAGCCTTCCCTGCTTTGCTCAGGTGAGCACAGTCCTGGTGCTGCCAAAAAAATTTCCAGCAGGTTCAGCCAGAGCTGGGACAAGGGCAGGGAATGTCTGGCTCCACCTGGGATGTGACAGTGACAGTGTGACCCCGCCTGGGAGCAGATTTTGGGCTCTGGTCCCTGCAGCTGGGACTGTCCTTGCTGCTGTCACACACTTGGGGACACTCTGAGGTCGCTGACAGCTCCAAAATCCACCTGAGGATGGAAAAATCCGAGAAAAATCCGGATTGCCACGGCCTGAGCAGAGTTGAGGGTGTGAAGGGACAGGTGACACACCTGAGCCACGGGAATTAATTCCCATTAAATTCTGGGAACATCCCTGCACCCTCAGCTGCTGTTCCCTGATTTTCACTCCCCGCTGCTGCTCCTCCATCGTCTCCCTGGAGGCTCCTTGGTTTTTCCCAGGGAATTCCTGGCCCTTGGCAAAACTGAGGCTGAAGATTTCCAAGCCAAAGCAGGAGGATGGAGATGATTTCCAGCTCTCTCCCCAAGCTCTGAGCAGCTGAACCCCTTCTCACCCAGGCCAGAAAAATCTTTATAAATATTAAAAAAAAAAAAAAAAAAAAAAAAAGAGAAAAAAAGAATTCAATTTTTTTAAAAAAAAAAAGCAAGGTGGGTGAAGAGAACTGCCTGGACGGAAATCCAACTTCCTCCGAATGGACAAATCCCCTCCTTGCATCATTTCCTTCTCCCCCAGAATAACTCCAGCGAGCTTCTGTGTCCTTTCTGAAGGGCTGAGCTGCTGCCAAGCATCCCGAGGAGGAGGAGGAGGAGGAGGAGGAGGAGGAGGAAGCAAAGCCCCCGGGAATGTGAGCCAGCTTCCTGCTGGGATGGCCCCGGGCCACGGAGGGGAGGCCAGGATGCTCCATTGTCCAGGGGCTGCTGGAGAAGCTCCCCTGGCCCTGCTCTCCTGCAGGGGGTTGGGAAAGAGCAGGGGATGAGCACACAGGGGGAAGCAGCAGCTCCGGGGTGTTGTAATTCACATTTAACTCCCTCAGGTCTCACAGCCAGGGGGAATCCTTCAGATCCCTGGATATTCCCTCAATTCCTTCTCTATCAGAGCAGGATGTGCCCCAAAAAGAGTTGGAATCCATGGAAATCCAGGGAAAATGACTTTCAATGGGATCTCCCTCAGGGCCAGGCTGGTTCCCAATTCCTCTGTCCAGCCCTTGGATAATAAACAGGAATAAACCTGAATAATAAACTCTGCTGAGTGCTCACACTCCCATCAGGAAAGAAGAAAAGGATCCAGTTTGGCCTGGAAAAGCCAAAAAAAAAAAAAAAAAAAAAAAAAAAAGCACTTTTGACCCCCAAAATAAAACCATTTTCATCCATATCGACTCTCATATTCATCCTTCGGGGGGAAAAACTGGATGGAAGGAGAATTCCAGGCTGAAAATTCCAGAACAGGAGCAGAGTTTTCCTCCTCCATCCCCAGCTGCCAGGAGGAAGGAGCAGGGAAGATGAGCAGGAATTAACCTGGGAATGAGAGGGGATCTCCAGGGATGCTCTGCCTGCTCCTCACCTGCTCAGGACTGAGCTGGGAACAGCAAATCCTCACCAAAAACCAGCAAATAAATCAGAATTAAACCCCAACAATTGGGCGCTGCAGGAGTCGCCAGGAGTGGCTGTGATGTCCCTCAGGGATGGGGACAGGACTCAGCACCCAGGGGAAAAAAAAAAAAAAAAGGAATTTGCTGTGAATTCCCACCCCTCAGCACACTCATCAGCTCGTGAGCGCTAATTAGTGCAATTATCACCCGCTAATGACTCCGGGCAGAGGGTTTGGAGGGGAGGGGGTTTTCCCCAGCCTTGGGACAAACCAGGTTGAGCTCAGAGCTCTGAGGTTCCCAGAAGTGGCCTGGAGTCACACCTGGGGGGTTCTGTGGGTGGGCACAGGTCACACTCAGATCAGCCCACCCCAAAAAACCCAAAATTCGGTGATGAGTAACCCCGAGACGTTCTCGGAGGCTGCCGGTCCCCAGGGGTGTTCTGTCACCGAGGGGAGGTGACAGTTCCCTCCCTGAGGCCCCAAAAAAAAAAAAAAAAAAAAAAAAAAAAGAAAAAAAAAACAAAAGGGTTTTTCTCCCATTTCCTCCCTCGTGGCTGGGGCTGAGCTCGCAGGTTCGGATCTCGGGGCTCTCATCAGACACCACCGCGAACATTCCAGAGCCTCAGAACGGAACTGTGCCGATGTGGGATGAGAAATGGAGGAGCAGAGCAGGAATTCCACTCATTCCCAGCACCCCGGAGCAGCCCAGCTCAGAAACCCCTCACACCCATTCTGCTGCTTCACTCTGCACCTAAAATCCCATTTCTGCTGCTGCTGTGGAAGAGAATTTCCCCCATTCCCTGCTTTTAGCAGCTGGGGGGAGGCAGAACTGCCTGACCCAGAGCTGGGAGCCTTGGGAATGTCACTGGAGTGACAGTGACAGCTCAGAGCGACAGTGACAGCTCAGAGTGACACAGAAAACACAACCAGGAAGGGACAATTCTGCTCCTCAGCATGGGGAGGGTGGAAAACCTTCCCCAAGGAGGAGGGGAATGGAGAGGGGTGGGATCAGGAGATGCCAGGAAGGAGCTGGGCAAGGAGAGGGGACACCAGAACTGCCTGACCAGAGCTGGGAGCCTTGGGAATGTCACTGGAGTGACAGCTCAGAGCGACAGTGACAGCTCAGAGTGACACACGAAACTCCCTCCACAACCAGGAGAGGCCAATTCTGAAAGATGGAAAAACCTTCCCCAAGGAGGAGGGGAATGCAGAGGAGTTTGGGAGATGCCAGGAAGGAGCTGGGCATGGGGAGGGGACACCAGAACTGCCTGACCCAGAGCTGGGAGCCTTGGGAATGTCGCTGGAGTGACAGTGACAGCTCAGAGTGACACAGGAAACACAACCAGGAGGGGACAATTCTGCTCCCCAGCATGGGGAGGGTGGAAAACGTTCACCAAGGAGGAGGGGAATGGAGAGGGGTGGGATCAGGAGATGCCAGGCAGGAGCTGGGCACGGGGAGGGGAGAGCCTGGAGCCCTGGGGTTGTCACTGGAGTGACAATTCAGAGTGACAGCTCAGAGTGACAGCTCAGAGTGACACACGGAACTCCCTCCACAACCATGACAGACCAATTCTGAAGGATGGAAAAACCTTCCCCAAGGAGGAGGGGTGTGATCAGAGGATGCCAGGCAGGATCCGGGCACGGGGAGGGGGCACAGGGCGTTACCAGCAGCTCCTGGGGGGTGATGGAGTTGTCGGTGTAGATGCAGAGCTTCTCCACGGTCAGGGGCATGGTTTCCCTCAGCTTGGAGGCCAGCAGCATGCACACAGCTCCCAGCAGCTGCAGGTGGTTCTTGTGCACGGCCACCGAGGACAGGTAACGATCCACGTAGTTCATGGCCAGCGGGAAAACCTCCTCCTCACACTTCTGCTCCTCACACACCTGGCCACAGCAGAGAAAAGGAAGTTTTGATGTGCTCGGTGCAGTTCAGAGCTGCTGTTTCACACTTGGCAGGGAAGGAGCCACAGGGATCGCGTCCGTGGCTCGGCACCGAGGCTTCACCTTCCCGTGGGGAGCAGCAGAACCGAGCTGCAGCTCCAGAGAGTGCTCAAATAAATCCGAATTTGCCCGATTTGGCCCCGTTTCTGCTGTGCCCAGCTGCCAGCCCTGCCCTGGGGAGCGCTGGAGCAAAAGAAGCAGCTCCAGCTGGAGAGTGGAGAGAAGGATCCAGGGCTGGCAATTCCACCTGGAGCACCCCCGGGACTCGAGGAGAATCAACGGCAGCGCCCAAATCAATGGCGAGTCCCCAAAGTCCCCTCCCTGAGCCACCAGCAGAGTCCAGCAGCTCCAAATTTCAGCCCCGTGCTCTTATCTGCCACCAGCATCACAACACTTGTCACACTGAACTTCCTTCTTTCGGCACAACCATAAAAATATTGCTGTTTCTCCTCATTCTGCAGCAAACACCACCCTCCTCCTCCTCCTCCTCCTCCTCCTCCTCCTGCTGCTGCTGCCAGCCCCGGCTGTCCCGGCCATGGGGACAATGACACGCAGGTCGTGACAACCGCCAGTGTCACCTCGCTGCCTTTAGGGCTCCACAGGAGCGGCTTCCACAGCGAGTTTATTTACCGACCCTTCTTGCAAAGGGAACAGAGTGACAGCGGGGGGGGAAAAAATCCTTTAAAATGAAAATATTCATTATTTCTTTGGAAGGGTTTCCCGCAGCACCGGCTGGGGGCAGGCAGGACCCAGCCCTGTAGAATCTTCATTTATTGAGATTCTTCTCTGCGAGCCCACCAGGAGATCCCCCCCGCCCCGAACTCCATCCCGCAGAGATCCATTTTTAATTTAGGGAAGTCAATAGCAGCGTTATTATTTCCACCTTCGCAGCCCCGGGGCTGAGCCCTGCCCGGAGGTTTCGGGGATCTCTCACCCCCTGGTTTTGGGTTCGGGGGAAGGGAAAATCCCAATTTTAGCACAGCCAAACTCACGGAGAGCCTCCATCCCCACCGGCATCACCCCCCGCGCTTGACACCGGAGCCATCGGCGCTGCTTCGTCCCCGGTACCCCGAGTTTTGGGGGATCCCGGTGGGATTTCGCTACCTCCAGCATCCAGAAGGCCAACATCTTCCGCATGTAGGGCTGGATGTCGCGCTGCACGCACTGGAAGTAGGACACGCGCGGGCTGTAGCGCTCCTCCAGGCTCAGCAGGTTCTGCAGCACCCGCCGGTCCCCCAGCAGCTGCGGGTCCCGCCCGGCGCGGGGAGCGCGGGGCGCGGGCTCCACGCACAGCAGCTCCATGGGGCGAGGGCACGGATGGACGGGGGACGACGACGAGGAGGATGAGGAGGAGAAGGAGGAAGGACGAGGAGCAGGAGCAGCAGCAGCGGGCGGAGCGAGGCGCCGCAGCCACCGCCGGCTCCGCCGCGGGACGCCGGGAACTGGCGGCGCTCCCGCCCCGGCCCCGAGCGCCGCCGCCGCGCGCCGAGGGAGGGGGCGGAGCTGCGCCGCGCCGCAGCCAATCGCAGCGCGGCACCGCAGCGTGGCGGCCAATCGCAGGGCGGCGGCGCAGCCGAGGGGCGTGGTTACAACGAGGATTGACCAATCAGAGGCGCGAGCGCCGCAGAAGGGGCGTGGCCAGCGGCGCGCCGGCGGGACGGGCGCACACGGGGACATGGGGACACTGCGCGACCCCCGCCACCACCCACCGCACATTTCCGCCCTGTCCCCTTCATCTCCCCGCTCCCAGGCGTCTGGCAACCCCTGACACTTTAATTTTTTTTTCAGTGTTGAGTCCTATAACTTTTTTTTCCCCTTTTTTCTTTTTTTTCTTTTCCTTTTTTTTTAATTTTTTTTTTTTTTGAGCGCATTTTTTTTTTCAAGGCTGTGTAAATAATCAGCTGTGCCCATGTTCGTTGGGAGCTGCGCCGTGCCGAGCCTGCTGGCTTCCAAAATTCCCCCTGGTGCGGCTCGGTGGGAGATAAGGAGCGCGGGGGCTGCCGAGATAAAGCTTTGTCAGCCCAATAATTCACAATTGTTTGGGAAACACCTTCGAAAAAGTACGAGGCTGCTCAGTCCTCAAAGGAATTTTAATTATTTTTGTAATGTGGCTTCCCCCAGAGTTGATCCTGCTTCTCCCAGATCCGCTGGAATTCCTCGCTGGGAAGCTGCAGATTGGTTTGGGAAAATGATTTTTGTCACTGGTTTTCAGAAGCTGCGACTTTGCTGCTGGGAAGTGTCAGAAAACGGCAACAAATATATAAAATAAACACCAGATTGTCCCCACAAAACTTAGGAACGGAGCAATGGGAGCTGCGGAAATCAAAGCTTGAATCCCAAAAATATCCCAAAGTTGGCTCCTGTGGACACCTCTGACCCATCCTGCTGGGATATTCCTCGGCAAATAAATTCATTTTTGGGCTAAGGAACAAAACTGTGCCACCACAGCTGCTCCCACACGCACAAGTGACACTTCAGTCACTTCCACCTGTGCCATTTTGACACGTTTGGTGCTTCTTTGTCACCTGAAGAATATTTCATTAAAAAAAAAAAAAAATCCCTCAAATTAATAAGTGCAAGTAAGACAAGAGCAAAGTCTTTGTTCTGTCAGCTCAGGGTTTTTTTTGGGGGGGGGGAGTTGTTGAAAATGAAAACCATTTTTTGTGATCAGAGGCTCAAAATGCCCCTGGTGACAGGGAACACCGAGGTCCCATCCACAACATCCTTCCCACGTGCTGGAATCCTGCAGGTGGCTTTAATTTATGCAATTTAATTATTGCAATTTAATGATGTCATCAGCGTGGATTTGCTGTGCTGAGGATGCAGAACTGAAGGGAAAAAAGAGAGAGAGAGAGAGAGAGAAAATCCCATCAATTACAACAAGAGGGAATTTTTCTAGGCGACCTCAGAACTCCCAAAATTCTCTTTTTTTTTTTTTTTTTGTTCCTCCCAACTTTCTTTCATTTTACAAAGAAATCTCCCTGCTGGAAATATTTGAGGAATCCATGGGAGAGAACCCTGTGGATCAGTCAGCTGCTTTTAATTTGGGGTGCAGGGGAAAAGAAGGGCCCCAGATCCCACATTTTAAACAAAAATAGCAGCTCTTGACTCCAGCAAAGGGAAACCACAGCGGTGGCTTTTGGGCCTTCTGGTTTTTGGGGCTGTGTCTTTGGAAATTGAAAGTTTCAGGTTGGTTTTTTTGTTGTTTTTTGTTTTGTTTTGTTTTTTGTCCCGGACTTGCTGGTTTTCCTCCTGTTCCCGGTGTTTGTGGGGTGGTTTTGGCCCCACAGAAGGGGGAAGGGAATGTTGCACAAGGATGATGAGTGAGCAGAAATGGAGCCTCTTGCCAGCCACAGGAGAGGGCTGGAAATGCAAAATTAAGAGTGCAGGATCCTAAAAAAACCTAAAGTGTGTGGGTGTGCTATGGGGGAAAAGGAGGTGGAGAGGGGGGGAAATTCCAGGAAAACCAAATTTTGGTCACTGCTGGCCATAGATAGGCGGCTTCCTGGCTGGGGCAATGTTTAAAAAAAATTAAATTAAAAAAAAAAAAAAAAGGAAATTCCTTAGGAGGAAAAATGACAAAACCCCCGTGGCTTCCAGGAGCTCGGCCGGGTGAGGTTGGTTGGTCTTTGCTGAATCATAAAATTGGGATTGTTTTTGTTGGAATGTTGATGATGAGGGGGAAAAGTGGGAGTTCTTCAAAGGGCAGCAGGATGTGGGGATGGTTCTGCTGGGTTGGGATGGAGCTTGGTGCCATTTTTCCGTGTTCTTGGAATTTTTAGGGGCTGGAAAATCCCTCCAGGATCACTGAGTCCAACCTGGGACCCATCCCCACCTTGTCACCAGCCCAGAGCCACATCCAGGAATTCCTTGGGTACATCTGGGAATGGGGACTCCAAAAATCCCTGAGCATTTCCAAGGCCTGAATGCCCTTTCCATGGGAAATTCCTCCTGATTTTATGGGAAATTCCTCCTGATTCCATGAGGAAATTCCTCCTGATTCCATGGGAAATTCCTCCTGATTTTATGGGAAATTCCTCCTGATTCCATGAGGAAATTCCTCCTGATTTTATGGGAAATTCCTCCTGATTCCATGGGGAAATTCCTCCTGATTCCATGAGGAAATTCCTCCTGATTCCACGGGGAAATTCCTCCTGATTTTATGGGAAATTCCTCCTGATTTTATGGGAAATTTCTTCTGATTCCACGGGGAAATTCCTCCTGATTTTATGGGAAATTCCTCCTGATTTTATGGGGAAATTCCTCCTGATTTTATGGGAAATTTCTTCTGATTCCATGGGAAATTCC